GGCGGAGTAGAATTGTGTCTGCGGGGCTTCCTGTCACAGATGTTCCTTTGGAAAGTGCTGGATATTGTTTTCATGATAAAAACCCACTGCTGAGAAGTCGATCCCAATGCACAGCAGCTCCAGAGGGCAGAGTAGAACTAACTAACTAGGGGTTGTGAGGCAGCAAATCTTCACAGGAGCAGACGGACTCGTCTTTCCCCCTTAGAGCGACTAGTGGGTTCCAACCACTAACCTCTTGTTTATCGGCCCAAGGCTTAACCCACTAGGCAACCAGGCTCCTTATTTTCAAGAGACAAAATCTGGTAGCCCGTGCCTGTGGCATGTGGTTTTTGACTTGCAGGATGCACATATACAAAGAGCTTTCTTTCAAAACACAATTCACATTCTTAACAGAGTACTGGTGGCACCTCGGGTTAAATACCAGGCAACTAGCAGAAAGGGCAGGGGTCAAACCCACCAGTCACTCTGAGTCGGAATAACCAACTCGTGGCAGCGAGTGTGAGAGTTGATCAGAAGAGAGAGGGGAGACAGTGGCTTCGGCAGAGATCCACAGCCTCAGAAACCATCTTGGATGGCTGTGAGTCAGGATGACTTCTGGCACTAGCTTAACAGGCCAGGCTATAAACCATTTCAAAGGTCGTATAGTGTAGCAATTACCATTGATAGCAGCAATAATCTTCTTGTCAAATGTTAACTCCATCTCTGACCATAATTTGCATGCATGTCTCACTTTGTCTAACTCTCTTTCCTCTTCCCCTCCAGTGACCCCTTTCCCCTGATTTCCGGGTGGGGGTGGGTGGGTTTGAATTTCCCATGGCCTAGTACCTTGTCCACCTAACATCTGCTCAATAAAATATTCGCTGTATCAGTGGGAAAAGTATGAAAACTCATCTGTAGGGATCTATCCCATAGTCTATCCCTACTGGCACAGTTGATTAAGCGCTCAGTGCTAACTGAAGGATGGGCAATTGGAACCTACCAGAGGCTCCAAGGACCAAGATGAGGCTGTCCGCTCCCCGTGAAGATGGACAGCCTCGGAAACCCAACATAGAGTCTGTTCCTCAATTCCAGCAGTGTGTCAGCTTCCTTTTAAACGACAGGAAGTTGGAGTTGGAGGAGGTAGAGCCGCTGGTCCTCCTCCTGTGTTCCCCTCTTTTCCACCCTTTCCAATTCAGTTCACGGTGACACTGAGTCTCCCAGGTTCCCCACACATGCACCAGGTTGCACAAGATGCCACCTGCCTAGAACACATGCTGGTGCCAGGCTAGAATGGAAACAACTGTACCTGCCACTTATAGAGCACAAACCAGGATCAGACCTCCAGCTAGCACCCTTTGAGGGATGGTGAATCTTACCTGATGCAGTTTACCAAGAGCGAAGTCCAAGTACATGGTCCAAGGCCATGCCCAAGAAGGGGCAGGGCCAGGATTTATCCCTCAATCGACCTGGGCAGTACTATGGGTTAAGCTTTGGGCAGGTGACCACAAGGTTCAAAGCCAGCAGCCCCTCCTCAGGAGAAAGATGAGGCAATCTACTCCCATAGATTTACAGTCTCATCAATCCTACATAGCGTCTCTATGCATCTGATTCTGTTGCACAAGGCCGTTTGAAAGTGTTAAAAGAGTAATGACATCTCTTTGAAGACTAAGGGTATTTTCAGTCTCCTCTTATACATGCGAAAGCTGGGCAATGAATAAGGAAGATCAAAGACAAATTAATCCCTTTGAATTATGAAGGGTGGGTGAGGAATATAGAAAGCATTGTGGATGGCCAGAAGTACAAACAAATCTGTCCTGGAAGTACAGCCAGAATGCTCCTTAGAACACAGAATGGTGAGACTTGGTCTCGTGTACTTTGGACATATTGTCAGGAGAGACATCGTGCGAAGTAAAGTAGAGGATGAAGGATGTCTAGATAAAGACATCGTGATTGGCAAAGTAGAGGAGCAGTAAAAAAGAAGAAGGCCCTTGATTAGATGGGTCAACACAATGGCTGCCACAAAGGCTCCGATCTAAGAACAACGGTGAGGATGCACAGGACTGGCCAGTGGCCGGGCGGTTGTACATCTGGTTGCTTTGAGTCGGCACTGACTCAACAAAACCTAACAACAGCATGAGTCGGAATCGACTAGAAGACGGGGGTTGGGTTTTTGTTGTGGTTGTTGTTCTTTAGTTCTAACTGGCAATGCAAACAAACTGGGTAATTACCCAAAAGGTGGATAGCTTACACCCACCACGAGATGTCTCAGAAGACGGGCCTGACTTTCCAAAAAGCCAAGGTTTCCAAAAAGGTCACAATCTTGAAAGCTCTTATGAGAAGCTCTACTTTGCACCCATGGGCCATGAGTCAGAATCAATGCAACAAAAACTAACAAGAGCAGCTATGTGATTAACTCCCTCTTTTCTAGTCTCAAGTCCCTTGGACATTGCCCCCCACCAGCCTTCTCCTGCAAGCCCTGCCACAAACCAACTCAGCCTCACCACCCTTGGGTGCTTCTCTTACTTGATCTCATTAACTCAACCTCATGACAGGTGGAAGCCAGTTTAAAACCCTGCTGTGCCATTGACAAGTGGCAAAGACCTTGACATGCCATTGATCCCCACATTTGTGAAATCAGATGCTCCCTCCCTATTGCACAGGGACCGGCCAGGAGGGCCTAAGGGTGAAGTCCCAGAGGGTTGGAATGGCTTCTGACCCTCCTGGGGGCTAGCAGACACTGGTTGCTCAGGATGGGTTGATGAATGTAAGTTAATTAAACACTGACCATTATAATATTTAGGTCACCCCCCCTGAGTTGGATTGAGGATCATAGGACAGTGGAAGGAAGGGAGGAGTTTTGAAGGAGCCCTAGTGACATAGTCGTGATTATGCTTTGGGCTGCTAACTACAAAGTCAGAAGTTCAAAACCATCATCAGCTCCAAGAGAAGGACTTTCTATTCCCTTAAAGGACTTTCTATTCCCTTAAAATAAATAAAATAAAATAGAAAGGACTCCCTATTCCCTTAAAAAAAAACACTCACTGCCATCTAGTCAATGCTGACTCCTCGGGCAGGGTAGAACTGTCCCTGGGAGTTCCCAAGACTGTAACTCTTTTATAGAGAGTAGAAAACCTCATCTTTCTTCCAAGGAACAGCTGGTGGTTTTAAACTGCTGACCCATGAGTAAGAATCAACCTGAGGGCAGTGAGTTTTTCAAATAGGACATTGCTCTACATCGGAATCTGCAACCAGCAGCCTTCAACTCTATGCCTCTTCTGACCCGTGGTCTCTCAATTGGAACATTCTTTTTATTTTAACTCATTTTATTGGGGGCCCGTACGACTCTTAACGCAATCCATACATCCATCCATTGTGTCAAGCACATTTGTACATTCATTGCCCTCATCATTCTCAAAACATTGGAATATTCTAACAGCCCCTTCATGAGTCTCCCAGCCTCCACTCATGCCCTCTCCCACCCAACCCTCCAGACCAGAGAGCATGTCCGCAAACCCATGCAACAGGGAACCTTCCCCAGCACGCCCTGGAATAAAGTTCAACCCCCTAGACTTGATTGCCCTGACTCAGCCAACATTGTAGCCAATACCCATGCCCCTCCTCCCACACCCAGAAACCCTCCCGAGGGCCTGCCCAGGACTCTGCCCTCTCTGCAAGGGTCGACTCTGGGAAATTCCTGAGCCTCTCCCCACTCAGCTCCCAGACCCCCAGCCACCAGACCCCCGGCTCCTCTCCTTCTCCCTAAATGCCAACTTCCACAGAGGCTTCACTCCTTGAGGGCCAGTCAGGCCAGCTTCCTCTTCACTTTGACAGTAACCTAAGGCACCTCTGTTCAACAAGTGGCTGGCAGGTGGTGGTGAATGAATGAACTTGGAGTCTATGTCATGCCCGGCACCAGAACCTCCACTAGGGTGAAGGAATCTAGGTGAGGGGTAAATATCAGCCTTGTGTTGCAAGGCACGTGGGCACTCTAGAACATAGGTCCTCAAACTTATTTGTGGGGGAGGGGTGTGGCTTAGTACCACCTTGGCAATGAACAACTTGGGCACTGTAACCCATAATTCAGGATCAAGTGTACTCACTCATTGCCATCAGGTCGATTCTGACTCATAGGGACCCTGTAGGGTAGAGTAGAACTGGCCCTGTGGGTTTCGGAGATTGTAACTCTTTTTGGGAGTAGAAAGTCTCTCTTTCTCCAGTGCAAGGGCGGGTGGGTCCAAACTGCTGATGTTGCAGTTAGCAGCCCAAAGTGTAACCCACTACACCACGGGGACTGTGATAGAGTGAACCCTAGGTCTCTGCTTTTGCACCCTCCCTGGATCACTCCAGCTTCACCATCCATCCACCCCGGCAAACACTGCTCAGAAGGTCATTCCAGCAGGGCAGGACCACACTGGCTGACTGAAGGCGCCCTCTCTCGCAGGTTCTTTAAGGAAAACACAAGAGCATGCATGGAAGGCAGACATGCAAAATACTTTCCAAAGGATTGCCCTACAACCAACCACACAGGGAACTGATCGCCAGAGCGCCACGTGCAACGGTCCTGGGCAGCACAGCTGCAGGGAGGAGGTGCAGTGGCTGGGGGTGATTAGTGTTTGTCCAGGAGTCTCCACGGGCTAGCAAGGGAGAGCAGGGTCAAGCGAAGTGTAGTCTCAATGCCCTGGCTACTGATTAACCAAACCTCAGAGCTCTTCCCTGAGAGACAGAGCTGAAGGGAATCCATCCGTTTGGAAGACAGGCCGGGTCTCTAAGGCTGCAGTTATAAAGGGCAGTGGCGGTAGGATCTTCCAGTGTTCTAGGGAGCCGCAGGGACGCGGCTGATACTTATAGCGTCCTCTTGATTCCGCCTAGGAATCCTCCAGCCGCCCAGAAGTGCGAGGGTGAGAGTTCCTCCCTCCTTTGCCCAGAAAGGAACCCCATTCTCAGGAGTGTTTTGGCCCAAGGTCGCAAAGAAGATGCAAAGCCTAAGTCCCTTCTCAATGCAACAAGTTACAGCAGGAGGAATGGCTGGTCCCGAGGAGATAAAGTTCCGTCCGGCTCAGCAGGAAACGCTGGCCACCGAGGCGGCGCGCGGAGGTCACCCGCCCGGCGCTGTGGCCCAGAGCAGGGTTTCAGGGTGCGGCGTCGCGGCTCTTGGGCGGATGTGCGCCCAAGGGAGCCCGAGGTCACACTCAAGGTAAGGAGTCAATAGGCCGCTTCCCCATCCCCCCCTCCGCCCAGGGCCCCACCCGCGGACCCTGGTGCCTCAGTCTGTGAGGTGGGGGCCATCCAGGCTAGCTTGGGAGTTGGGGGGTTGAGTCTCGGCCTTGAGAAAGTGCGCGGAGCGGAGCACACAGGCCCGGCGGGGAGGACGGGTCTGGAGTCCCGAGGGTCGGTGCGCTGCTGTCCCCACGCCCTTCTGGCACCCAGGTCCCTCATCGCTCTAGTCTCTGCATGGCTCAGAGCCCAAGCTCCCGAAGATCCAATATGCAGTTCCAGGCTGGATACACAGCAACGCGGACCATCCCCCGATTCCGGGCCGCCAGATCCCTCTGCGGACCTACTCCCAAGGTTCCGACTGATATGGAGGATCAAGGATCCACTCGCTCGCCGTCTCGCGTCCCCTTTCATCCTCCCCTGCCCGCAGGCTGAGGATCCAGGGTGATCTAGGGCCGCTGCAGCCCGATTCCCTCCAGAGATCAACTCCTAAGTCTCCGGCTGGGTGGTGCGGGCTCCAGTGGCTATCCAGTGCAGGATCCACTCTCAAGTCTGGGAAGAGGGATCCCCCGGCTCCCGGCGCACCCCAATCCCGAGAAACTACAACACCGGGATTCTGCGCCTCCGCCCCTTCCCCAGCCAACTTTGTCAACTTTTCTCCGCGGGCCTCAGCCAGGCTGCAACTTAGCGGCGATTAGCCGCCACTTCCCCCGGCTCCACGCCCGCAGGGAAACCAGGGGGCGACCGACTAGCCCCTCGCCCCCAGTGCCCACCGCGCAACCTACCTTGGAGCTGCTGGCCGGCGCCCGCCGCCACCTGCCCGCAACCGCGCACCTGCCCAGGCCTGCCGCGCGGCTGGCAGACCGCGCAGCCTAGACTGCTGGGGGCGGGGCCTCGGGCGGGGAAGCGCCCCCGTCGCCAAGGGAACCGCGGCCAGCGGCGCCTGCGCGCAGGGCCCTGGGCAGGGCGCTGCTGGCCAGAACCCCAACACTAACTAGATCCATCCGGTGGGGGATCAAAGGTCGTTAGATCTCCGGGACACATACCCACGTCACCCCAATCAAGCGCGGCTGGCGTCGAACTGCTGCATCCACAGTCCTGGCTTGGGGTCAGACACCGACCGATCGCCGCACCTGCATCTCCGAGAACCTCGTTAAGCCCAAGAATTAAGCAAGAACAGAGTATGGGGTGCTCCAGGGGATCCCTCCTGTTGGGGCGCCGCGTGGGGTCTGCCCGGGGCGCGGGCACCCCCTCCTGGCAATCCAGGGAACAGCAGCCGAAACCGCTGGGGCGGGGGAGAGGGCAGGGTGAGGACGAGGAACTTAAAAGATGTGTTGGACGCATAGAAAGAAAAGCCCCGAGAACAGAAAATGCCTATTTTGCCACATATAACCAATTATGCGATCTTTATCAAGACTGAATCATGACTAAAAGCCTGGATAGCACAAAGGAGTTTGCTATCTCAGAGGTTGGTGTTTGCTACTAACCCAGAGGTTGGTATATCTAACACACTCAGCATCTCCGCGGAAGAAAGGCCTGGCTTACGACATACAGGTTACAGCCAAGAGAACTCTATGGAGCAGTTCTACTCTGCAACACGTTAGGGTTTTAATGGATTGGAGTGGATGTGGATATCGCTGTGAGGTGCGTGATGAGTCAGACTTCACTCCAAGCCAGGGGGTGGTGGTGTTTTTTTGGGTAAGGGACTTGCAAAAATGTCATTGTGAGGACTAAGCTGGGCCTGACCCAGGCCATGATCTTTTCAGTTGCCTCATGTGTACGTGAAAGGTGGACAATGAATAAGGAAAGACCAAAGCAGAATTGATGCATTTGAATTGCAGTGTGGGTGAAGACTATTGAGGATATCTCAGACTGCCCAAAGACCAAATAAATCTACCGTATAAGACGTACAGCCAGAATGCTCTTTAGAAGACAGGATAATGAAACTTGGTCTCACCTCCCACTTTGAATATTACATCACGCTTGGTAAAGTAAAACCACAACCAAACTCATTGCCATCAAGTCAATGCAGACTCATAGTGACCTCTCTGGGGTTCCAAGCCTGGAACTGTTGGTGGGAGTAGAAAGTTCAGTCTTTCTCCCTCGAAGCTGCTGGTGGTTTCGAACTGCCCACCATGCAGACAGCAGCCCAGTGAGTAATCACTACACCACCAAAGTAGTAACCAAAAAAATCAAACCCAGTGCCATCAAATGGATTCTGACTCAGAGTGACCCCACACAGTTTCTGGAGCTGTAAATCTTTCCTGTGGCGAGCAGCCTCAACACCTCCTACAGAGTGGCTGGTGGAGTTGAACCACTGACCTTGCAGTTAGTGACCCAATGTGACCCAATATTTACCCCGCTGCACCCCTAGAGCTCCTTTGGTAGAGGGTCCACAAGAAAAAGGAAGATTCTAAAAGGGATGGATTGAAACTGGCTGCAACAATGGGCCAAATTGTAAAGATGGTTCAGAACCAGGCAACGTTTCCTTCTGTTATGCGTAAGTGTCCTGGTGGCGTAGTGGTTACCAATTCAGCTACAACCCACAAGGTCAGCAGTTCAAAGCCAGCAGCTACTCCTAGGGAGAAAGACAGGGCTTTCCATTCCATGAAGATTTACAGTATCCAAAACCCACAGGGGTAGTTCTAACTTGTCCTATAGGGTCACAATGAGTTGGCATGGACTCCATAGGGTCGTTAGGTGTTGGAACCCACAATAACATGAGCTCAATAAATATTTTGCTGAAAGCATGAATGACTCTGTAGGAACTTTTGTTTCTCCTCAGTAAATTTCAGTTAACCAGAATCTGTGGTCCAAGAGTCTGTTTAATTGAAGGTGCCAGGTTTGAGCGTCCCCTCCTGCCAAGCCCAGAACACTGGAAAGGACATGACAGTTCTTACTACCACTTCAGCTCTGCAGAAACCTCAAACCCAGACCTGCTGCAAACCTGATTCCACCCAGACCCAGAGATACCCAGCCCACCCAGGCTCTTCGGCCCTCAATATGCTTCTGCGGAGCCTAGAAATGTCAAACTACAATTCCCAGAGTGCTCCTGTGGAGGCTGGACTTCCTAGTTCAGCCCCGCCTTGGCTGCCCCCCAGCCCAATCCCACCCCGGGCTCTGCCTTCCTATATCACCCCGCCCAGGTGTGAGGCTGCCAGTGGAGACTCTGGCTGGAGATTATATCCTCACCACAGAGGTGTCAGGTAGTGTATTGCTTCCACGGCCAACACCTTCCCCCCACAGCCCAGGCTCAGCTTGTCTCTTCCAAGAGGTCACACGTTCAAACCCACCTGCCGCTCTGCTAGAGACAGCCATGGCTAGCTGCATATGTAAAGATTTACAGCCTAAGAAACCGGAAGGTCCCCTAGGGTCATTGAGGTGGAATCCACTCGATGGCAGTGCGTTTGGGTTTGAAGTACAATGGGCAGTTACACATGTTCCAGAAAAGACCAGGGACTTTTCTAGAAAGCATTCTCTGCTCATCCAGAAAGATATCTATCCTGAGTGGGCTACCTGTTCTCTGATACAAGCAGCTATGTTTGGCTGAATTTTCTGGAAAAAAAACAAAACTCACAGCCATAGAGTTGATTCCCACTCCTAGCAAGCCTGTAGCACTGGATAGAACTGCCCTTGTGGCTTTCAAAGGCTGCGAGTCTCTACTGGAGTGGGAAACCTCCTCTTTCTGCCATACAGCAGCTGGTAGTATGGACTGCAGACCATGTGGTTAGCAGCCCAGTATGAAACGCACTATGCACCAGGGCTATGTATGAAACGCACTATGCACCAGCCCAGTATGAAACGCACTATGCACTATGCACCCCAAATCCATGCCATCCAGATAATTCCCACTCCAACTCTTAACGACCCTTTAGAGGGGGTTTTGGTTTTGGTTGGGGGTTTTTAAATCATTTTATTAGGGCCTCATACAACTCTCATCACAATCCATACATACATTAATTGTGTCAAGCACATTTGTACATCCATTACCTCATCATTTTCTAAACATTTTCTCTCCACTTAAGCCCCTGGCATCAGCTCCTCGTTTTTCCCCTCCCTCTCCACTCACCCCTCTCTCATGAACCCTTGATAATTTATAAATTATTATTTTGTCATATCTTGCCCTGTCCAACATCTCCCTTCACCTACTTTTCTGTTGTTGGTCCCCCAGGGAGTAGTTTATATGTGGATCCTTGTAATTGGTTCCCCCTTTCCAACCCACCCTCCCTCTATGCTCCCAGTATCACCACTCTCACCACTGGTCCTAAAGGGATCCAATTGGTTCTCCCTTTCCAACCCACCCTCCCTCTATGCTCCCAGTATCACCACTCTCACCACTGGTCCTAAAGGGATCATCTGCCCTGGATTTCCTGTGTTTCCAGTTCCTATCTGTACCCGTGTACATCCTCTGGTCTAGCCAGATTTGTAAGGTGGAATTGGGATCATGATAGTGGGTAGGGAGGAAGCATTTAGGAACTAGAGAGGAAAGTTTTATGTTTCATTGTTGCTACACTGCACCCTGACTGGCTCGTCTCCTCCCCACGACCCTTCCATAAGGGAATGTCCAGTTGCCTACAGATGGGCTTTGGGTCTCTACTCCACACTCCCCCTCCTTCACAATGATATGATTTTTTGTTCTGTGATGCCTGGTAACAGATCCTTTGGCACCTCGTGATCACACAGGTTGGTGTGCTTCTTCCATGTGGGCTTTGTTGCTTCTGAGCTAGATGGCCGCTTGTTTATCTTCAAGCCTTTAAGACCCCAGACACTATATCTTTTGATACAGTGCACCACGCACCATCAGCTTTCTTCACCACATTTGCTTATTCACCCGCTTTGTCTTCAGCAGTTGTGTCGGGAAGGTGAGCATCATGAAATGCCAGTTTAATAGAACAAAGTATTCTTGCATTGAGGGAGTACTTGAGTGGAAGCCCAATGTCCATCTGCTACTTAATACTAAACCTATACATATATGCACATAGATCTACTTCCCCATCCTCATATATAAATATATTTACATATGTACATGCCTTTATTTAGACCCTTTAGAGGGGTTTTGAGGCAGCAGATAACCTCACCTTTCTCTACCTCAGACCAGCTGGTGGGTTTGAACCACCAACCTTGCAGTTAGGAGCCCAACCCCTAATCCACAGTGCCAGCTTCAGAGTCTTCCTCCTGCCCACTTTAAAGCATGGATGACATTGAAATGTGTAACTGCCTGATTATTTCTGCCTCACTTTCCAAGTACTCCTTGGAGCCAGAGACTAGCATCAGACATGAAACAGAGTTGACATTCAATAAATATTCCCAGAATTCAGTGCTGAATAGATGTTTTTGCATAATATAATCCCAAACCCTGGGATGATAAGAACAAAAACTATCCTTTATTGAGCCAAATAGTATGCTGGGGCTCATTAAATCACCATAATGAGTTTACAAGAGCGGATGCTGTATTATGGCTTCATTTTTACTGAGATCTGAAGCTCAGAGAGGTTGAGGAAATCACCCAAAGTCACACAGCTAGTTGCTCAGGTGTTGGCAAACTGCTGGAGGCAGATCTTTGAGTGCTAATGCTTTATTGCAGTAATTTCCAGGCTGTGAAGGTGAAGGAAAGGAGACTGTGAGGACAAGCAAATACAAGACCTGCCCTACTGGACTGGCCACAACTTCTCCAGAAAATGAAAGTGGAAGCCATGGGAACCTGTGGCAAAGTTGAAGGTCGCGGATTTGACCTGCTGGTCTCTCCCATCTGCTGTTAGTCACCATTCAGCCTAAGTGCTCCTGAAGTCAGACTGCATTACCTGAACCTCCAGGCAGCCGTGAGGGAAGCCCAGAGTTTCACCTGTGTCTGGAAGTAGGTGTACC